GCTAAAGTGCTACCTGCCTCCAGAGCCTTCCTGTCCCTTCCCAGCAGCGGGGAGCCCCAGGCGCAGACCTGTCGGGCTGGGGATTCTGCGCCTGCCCGGCACTTACTCTGGGGAAGATGATGCTGAAAGCAGCTCCTTGTTCCCTGCATCCCCAAGCCGGTGGGACAGAGGGACTCACCAGGTGCAGTGGGTCTGGAGGCCATGGGGAGGGCCAGGTCCCCTCAACGTGTGTTTGCCCATCATTTCATTAGCGAGCCATCGCTAAATGCCTTCCTGTGAGAGGGGTAATGTGTTGAAAAATGACCCAGGAGATAGTGTGACAAATTGTTGGGGTGACTGGTGCAAAAGCAGAGCCCCGGGGATAACGCATCCCCCCTTGATCCATCCCTTCCTATCTGGTCCCGGCTCAGATCTGATCAATAGCCACAATTAGCGGGGGGCTATTTGCCTATTGCCCTTTTCCTCTCTTGGCTCTTTGAAGTTGGAGCTAATTTAGGTGCCTCTGCTCCAGGAACCCAATAAATCAGGAACCGGGGCCTCGGGGAGAGGGGAGGACGAGACAGCAGGACTTCAAAGGGAGGTGAAGCTTGCAAATATTTTTAAGCACTCACCTGTGCTCACCACAGCCCTCTTGTTCTCCCCAGCTGCCTCCTGGCTGCCTGGTCTTGCTCTGCCCAGGAGCGGATGCTCCCCTGGCCTCTGACTTACACAGTGAGCTCAGCTCGGGAGAGAGAGGCTCTTCAAGGACCAAGAGGCTCTTCAAGGTGCCTGAATGCCGGCAGGACGTGCATGCCAAGCCCACTTAGAGGCCTCCCTGTCCAAAACCCAGCTAGGCAGGATGGTTCCCAGCCGCGGGAATGATTTGGCTGGTGGGAGGTGGTCAGGAGGTGCAGCACGGAGCAGATGCAGAGGTGGCTGAGCTGGGCACAGAGCTGTGTCCCAGCCGGGTGATGCTTGGGCAGTGGCAGGGGCAGAGGGTGGGCAGCAGCCCCACGGTGTCCCAGGCAGGAGAGAGCCCCCACCCACCCACAGCCCTGGAAGCTCGCTGGAGAGCGCTGCCGGGGGTTCCCAGCATCTTGGCTCTGGGCAGCCCAGTCCCTGCAGGGATCCAGCTCCCAGAAGCTGTCAAGTCCAGACTATAAATCACGGGTCATCGGATACCACCTCCTGCCTGTAATTAGCGCATCCCGCTGGGCCGTCCCCACCTTGTCCTGGATGCTTCCTACCTAGGTGCCCATTACAGGGTGGGAGGCCAGGAGGAACGCCCACCCAGGTCCTGCTCCCTCAGCCCCTGTTGATTTATCACTCCATGCTGGAGAGATTTATGGACTGAGATGGGGAGCCAGAAATGTGTTGTAGGGGCCCGTCTGCCTGACAGATGATGAAAGAGCTGTAATTATCCGTCGCCACACATAAATCAGGCCACTCATGGCACACACACACATCCTCCTCCTCTCCAACCTCCACGGAGAGGTTTGACCCCTGGAGATACCCCATCTCTCCAGCATCTATCACCAGACCGGAGAAACGCCGAGCACTAGGCACACCTGTCCTGGGCAGCTTTGCCACAGGTCCTGCGAGTCCCACAGCCTGTTTTGGGCATCTTTGCCCCTAACACTACTGCTGAGTGGGGGCTGCAGCTCCTGCAAAGGGCCTGGGAATGGCCACCCCCCACTTGCATCCATCCAGCACCCCTAAACCACTGCTGCTTCCAGGTGAGAGCTGTTGGGACCAGCCCTCCCTGGAGATGAAACACTGATGGCAGGAGGGGGGAGTGGTAGCAGACACAGGCAGGGGGGCTGCCCAGCTGCTGGCAGTGTCCCAGCACTATCCATCCTCCTGGGGAAGGCTGCATCAGGAGGCACGCCTGTGCCGGAGGGATACCACGGCGCGGGAGCTTGGTGCTGAGTCATGAGAGCCAGGGACTGGCATGCAGAGGGGTGCCCACCCCTGCACAGCCCCCTGCTCTCAGGTGGTGACAGAGGGGAAGGAGGAGGTGGTTGTTGCGACACTGCCTGGGCCTCACGGCTAAGTAAATAGGGCACTTTGTTCCTGCTGGGACACGGCCAGGTGGCACAAGGGACATCACGGCTGTGAGTCATGGCAGCCAGCCACCGAGGCCCGGGAAGGAGGCAGGGGAAGGCAGCTCCCCGCGGCCACGCGGCCTGGAGGCTCCTGCCTCTGCCCCGGCTGTACGGACACCACCAACCCTCCCTATGGAGGTAGGAGACATGCACTTCCCTGGCACCTAAACACAGCGGGTGCACGCGCCGTGGCACAGAGCGGATGCAAAGCCTTACATGACCTTCATCACCCACTGCGGTCTGTGCCTGCCCCTCCATCTGACCGGGATGGCCTGTCTCTGCTGACAGGGCAGGCAGAGCATCACTGTCCAGAGGACGAGGATGGCCAAGGTTGAGGATGAGGATGTCTGCACGGGCAGAGGTCCCAGGCAAAGGCCAGGGCACACGGTGGAGGGGCAGAGAGCAGTGGGGTGATGCAGGAGGTACCCAGTGCCTTCGAAAATCCCTTGTTCCTGGCTCGGGGACCGATTTCTTGTGGTGCGTGGGTCTGTGTGTCCTCGGCTGTCGCCACGTTAACTGCTCTGACGCTGCCGGCTCCAGGCGCTCCCGGCCCGGCATCCTCCCGGCC